TCAGCTTCGTGATCTTTCACGCTGCACAGACGAAGCCGTGTACAGGGAGCCTTGTTCCAAGTTTCGCGATCGAATGGGCGCTTGTCATATTTCTGGCATAATTTACAGTACATGCCTTCTCCACTTCGATAAATCAACCACGATTCTCGGCCTTGTATCCACTCTTTTCGAAACTTCGATGCTTGCTTGCTTTGACGAATAGGACTGTTGATACTAGCATCTGGTTTTGACTTCTTTGGAATTGGTAGCTGGTTTTCTTGATTACTAGTACCGAGCTTGCGTTTTGGTGTAACCGTGATACCAAACTTCGACAGAGACATGGTCGTGATATGATAACTTCGCGAAGAACTGTTGAATTAAAATTTCCTGGAGCAGCGAATATATGTACTTTATCTCAAGAAGACACGAGAGAAGTGATGCTCTGAGCCGATTTTTATTTTATTTATACTCTTATGGTGTGAATTTGACTTATTATTTTGACTGAATCAGTCAACCCCCGCGTCGGCGTATAAAATATACGCTGCCGATCATACATTTAGCACGTCGTTGGCTGGTGATTACCACGGTGTATGTCGGCAAAGATGACAGTTACCGCCGAACAGTGATCGTCTGAAAGCTTTTTCTAGCGAACAATGAGGTGCTAATTTTGACCTATTGGGTTTATTATCATTTTAATTACATGCATACTGTCCATGTAGAAAACTTCGTCGAGTGTTTACAAAACCTAACGCGCGACCAGCAGGACCTTTGACGGTCGCTGCATAATTATAATAACAATAGGACAATAGTCCTGGTCGGCAGCACTTCCGTGGTGGTCGCTGATCTTGAGTGCCGGTCGGGGCCGACCACCGCCGACCAGCGTGGCGAGATCCCTGCGAAAGCTATGAGATGAATAATCAGCTGCATTACAAACCAGCGGTTGTAAAAGTGACACAAGGCGCTTAGAAAATGCTGGGTAAAGAAGTGGGCGGGAGGGTGAGACGACAAAGGCAGGGCCCTCCTGTGGGGAGGGGGTACCCAGGAATGCAGAAATAACAGCAGACACTGGACATAGTGGGTGATCATGCAGGATGGGGAGTGGCAAGAGCAACTCTCGTTGTCTGGTCTGGATAGTCTTTGACCACCTAACCACAATGCCTAGCCCCCATGGGAATGCAAGAAAATCCCCACGGGACACGTGCTTGTCAGAAGAAAACCCTGCAATGATGGTGGTAGGACATTGGACTTCCGCAGCAGCCCGAAAAACATAACTAGACAAACTGCCCAAAAAACCTTGTCCTGCTTGTCTGAGAGATCAAGCTGGGAGCGAATGCCCAAGAGCAGGGCTGGGGTAATTGGCAATTTACGTTGGATTTTAGTGCCTTTTACCCTTGCCACACCTTTGAGCAGTGTTGAAAGGGTGAAGTTATCAGAAAGTGGGTTAGGAAATCCGCACTCAGAGTGCAGGATGCGAATGATGTAATTTCCTGTTACTTTACATTTAATAATTGTTATTGTATATTAGGAGACGTTCGTTGTTGTTGTTGTTGTTGTTGTTGTTGTTGTTGTTGTTGTTGTTGTTGTGAGGCCTTATAATTTAAACGGAATGGATCATCATTTTCAAATAATGGCCGGATTGGCGGGGTCATTGTTTTGTCTACAGCCTCGTAAAACTGTTGCTGCCAGGTTATAAAAATAAACGGCGTATAATAATTTTATTCAACACGAAACACATACTACAGGAGTTATTTTTTATGGTTTGTATAAACAAAAGAAAAACAATTTAAGAACAAATAAAAACAAGATTAAACTAAAAACTACGTATAAACGTATGTTGTGTTAAAACAAAGCTATATCTGTCTCTCGGTATGAGTTTCATGAATAGTTAATTCCTGAGTGGAAGAATGATCGGTGTGCGTTCTTTCTGCAACAACCATTGTTGTCTATTATCCTTCAGACCAAAGAGTATCGATATTATTACCCCAAAATTATTTATTCAGCGACGTTCTCGGAGGAAATGGGGAAGTGATTAAATTTGAATGCAATCAACAAGTATTGTTTCGAAAGCAAACAAAGCGACAGCTATACGAGTAAGGTCGTCACGTGAAAGTCACATGACCTAGGAGTGTCGAAAGTGTTTCATGACCGCCGGAAGTGATAGTGTATTCACTTTTGATAGTCTCTTACGTCTACACATCCCTTTCCCATCTACAACTGTGACGTTCTCAGTATTTAGGCGAAGATTCAGGTAAGGAAATCAGAAATGATTACGTTAAAGCACGTATATGCATATGAGATCGGTGTTTTGGAGGGACTGTGGTAGGCCCTACGATGGAACGCGCAAGTTCAATGAATAACTACAGTGACACGCCCAATATGTTGACATATCTATGGAGCTCCATGCTCTATGTAGTCTGTGAGACCGAATCGCTTTAGAGAACGAATTCGACATATACATGTGTTAAGACATGTTAACATAAACCTTTATATATATAAATTATTATGGTGGTACCACTTTCGAAGACTACAGGCGCCGTTGATAGATTCATTGTCCGTTATAGTGACCGTGGTCATTAGTCAGGGGCCCGGCTGGGGCCTTGTAACAGGGCCCGTGTCCCAAGGTCCCGTTTGCATTGTTTTTGTCCATATTGTTTGACGGTGTAGTAATATTTTTTTTATTGTATACTCTGTTATGTGATCGGTATCCAACCTTTTCGTGCTGTGCAGAATATGGTGCTCAGTGGTTGGACCATTCGATGTAAAAAACGGGGTACGTCAGCTTGGATAATAGTAAATTGTTAATTTCATAATTCTCCTCTATAACCCCATTATTACATCGATGTTCCGTATCAGCACCTTCCAATCATAGCAATGCAGATGTTCTAATTTTTTGCAGAATTTTGAAGGGGAATTCGGCAATCACAGGGATTACACCAGGGAATCATGGGACATCATTGTTTATGTTGTTAATCGGTCTTTTGTTTTTCAATTATGTTTTTAATCTATTAAGTAAATTATCTGTGAGATTGACTAACTGGAAGTGCCCCTTTCATTTCATTTACTTTATCATTATAAAAATAATGTAATTATCAGATAATGGACTATGCAGGTAGGCAGGTCATTCAAAGGTCACTGTTTTATTCTGCATTATTTTACCCTCATTTAGTGATAGATATTCTACCATTTATTTGGATAAACGCTGCACATGATTTATACATGCAATTAAGTTTAAGGATCGTTTTAAATCATTTATTAAGCTGCAGTCCAAAATGCATGTACACAGTAAATGCATATACATATGTATGTATGGGCAATTACTCTATCCCTACTACAGAGTGCTGGACATTTGTCTGTTTTTATTTTTAGTGCTGTTTACATGTATTTTTTCCTCCCAAATAAGTCATTATAAAATGCAAATTACATATATATTTGAACCTTAATTTATTTGTGCAATAATTACCATCTATAAGTCTGTCTCTGTGTGGTAATGTTCACTATACCTCATTCCAAACTGCATTGTTAATCGCATTGAGTGTAGTGTGGTAGGTAGTACATCTACCTGCAATAGTTAGACATTTCTCAAGGGAGGTTCTCTGAAAAATATGGTATGCAAGCTGAAGTAAAAAAAATGTGTAAAAGGGGTGTTGTTTAGTTATTTGATGCGTATATGCGTGTACCGTTTGCAAAAACTGTAATGTGTGAAAAAAGGAATCTCATGAATTCATAATACCTCAACTTGGAAACAGTGTGATTTTAGTATGTATATGGGGTATCTATTTTACGTTTCTGCACTTGAAAAGCGGTATAATTTCACAAAAATAAGTACGTGTTTAGAGGCTTTTTTGAAAAGCTATACTTCAGCATGGGTACCAGGTCTGACTTGGAGTAATCCCGTGTTCATGACTTCAAATAGTGTTTCATGTTCTAATATTTGTTTGCATGAACAATTTCACGCTATTTTCTGTTCATATGTAGCGTGTACCGGTACGTACCAGCATTATTATTAAGTGTGTATTCTTTAGGGGCATATCAATTTAAATAAAAACGTTACAGATTGCTGTACAGAAGGATTTTAAAAATGCAACCCATGAAATGAAAGTCTTTAATTATTACTTTGCCCGCAATCAGAGGTCACCACCATGACCTCTACAATTACAAGCAGTCAGAGGTCACCACCATGACCTCTACAATTACAGGCTATCAGAGGTCACCACCCTGATCTCTACAATTACAGGCAGTCAGAGGTCACCACTATGACCTCTACAGGTACAGAGGTCATCACCAGGCCCTCTACAATTACAGACAGGCAAAGGTCACCAATATGACCTCTACAATTACAGTCAAAGGTCACCACCATGACCTCTACAATTACAGACAGTTAGATGTCGCCACCATGACCTCTACAATTACAGTCAAAGGTCACCACTATGACCTCCACAATTACAGGCAGTCAAAGGTCATCACCATGACCTCTACAATTACAGGCTATCAGAGGTCACCGCAGTTTAGCTTTTAGGCATACTAATTTATTCAAGTATCACATGTGGGGGATGGCTTAACACTGCAAAATAGGTTAAATTGCCCCTTTAAATACTATATGTACATTTTCAATGAACCAGTCAAATTAACGATCAATAGCTGACTGTGTTTGTGTTCAATGACCGAATGCCGAATGAATGCGTTATTGTAGATATCTGAAACAGACCTAAATACATAATGTATTGTATAAATTCTATAGTAATATATTTGTACAAAATATAAATTTGCAATTCCTCTGTACATTTGCTTATACACTGACATGTTTTAATAATTTTTAATGAAACTGTAAATGAGTAAATGAAATAGATTAGATTAGTTAGTTACATGTATTGAGATCTTTTACTTAGAATTCAATGCATTCAACTATATTTCAAAATAAAAAGATTTATTCATTTGTCATCAGTTTTGTTATTTCAGTGATATTTTTTCTCCAGTATTTTTGTTGATAACTTTGCAGATTATCTTCATAACAACTCAGTCTGTTGATCTGAGGAGAAATCTGTGTGAAATGGCTATTTTGTAATATTATTGTCTAGTAGTTGATAGTAATTACAGATAGTACTAATATGTAAATGACATCATATTATGGTGTCTCTTAAATGCAAAAACAAATAAATGATTTACAATTATTCATATAGCTCATTAATATTCATGACCGACCGGCACTCCCGTTGGGCTGCCGAGATCCCTGAATTACCATATTTGCTTTATTTATAATAGCACATGCATTCATGTAATGAAAATTATGAAGATACACATGTAGTTGCATGGTTAATATGAAGGGAAAAAAATATATTAATGATTCATTTTACAAATGTATGTGCTTCTATTGGAGATTTACTTCTAAAATACAAATACAGTATACAAAGCTAATACTGACTTTTTTGCTTCTGTTATAGGTTGACATCAGTACATTTTAGTAGAAGTTTAAATTTTTGTTTGGTACGTCAAACCTTTACAATGTCTGATCAGAAGTATAAAGTTGATGACACGCAGCCTGTCCAGCAACAGCCTATACCCATGCAGAATGTACCCGGACAGCAACCACAATACCCTGGCTATGCTGGCCAGCCACAAGTCCAGTATGCAGGGCCAGGACAACCACAGCAACCATATGCCCAACCACCAGGACAGCCACCAGCTCCTTATGGCCAACCACCGGTGAGTGTGTTCAGTATACAATTCATATTGTTCCTACGTTTCTGTATTTTTAACGGGATTATTCATTTGAAATGCTGCAACATGATTTCACTATATATGTCAGTCCATGGCTGATGACAGCCAAGTGAATTTCTAATATTTTTTTGATTCCAACATTTTGGTTTTTGACGTAATTTCATTTGATGAATTGGTGGTAAGTAATCGCAATTTAGATTTCAACTGCGATTCGTAAAGTTATTCCTGTGGTGGGGACATAAGATTTTCATTTTGGAATGTTTCATTTTATTGAATCGCTAGGGGGCCTTTTTGGTTATCTGTACATTTTCAGTCAGTATAGCGCTTGGCGTCATTAGCTGCGGAGCATATGTCCCATCTTACAATAGTTTGGTTTGATATTCATATTTATTATGTGCTAAACAAAAATAAAATAAAAGATGATCGATGGCCCTAAAAGTCCTGAATCATTGCGGTATTGAGACAAATTAAAACAAAATTGAGTTATTGTTCAAATTATTTTTAGATGATTTTAAGCCTAACTTTTTCCTATGTCACAAAGACAGAGTGAAAGTGGAAATATTGCTACTATTCGAAGTGTACATAAACCAATTATTGCATTTATTACATCTAGATTCAATTGTTTAAAGCGGGGGAGTCATCACCTGCATATGTGTCAGATGGCCATAGCATGTCAATGTTTACAAACAAGCGTCTACCCATTAGCCTTTGCGTTTTTAGCGTGTGTTGTTATCCTCACTTCGGTCTCAATTCATGTCCGTGTGTAGGTGATTTGTTTTGTGCATACATGTATAGGTGTTGTTTGCCATTGCTTATCCTAAAATAATCCTAAAATAAAATAAAATAAAACAAAATAAAATAAAATAAAATAAATAAATAAATAAATAAATAAATAAATAAATAAATAAATAAATAAATAAATAAATAAATAAATAAATAAATAAATAAATAAATAAATAAATAAATAAATAAATAAAATAAAAATGAAATGAAATAAAATAATTTGATTTTAATGGAATGGCATGCATTCAACATTGTGAACCATGTCACATTAATTAAGGTCATGGAAAATCATTGTACATGTACATCAATTCTAGCAACAAGAAATAGCATAGCAGTTGACATGATTGTGAAATATAAAGCAAATATTGACAACAGACTGTACTTATTATAATTCACTCAGTTATATTCAACAGGTTATGAAAAATAGCTGTCTTTTAAATTTGCTCTTTGAACTTGCTATTTTGTTTACCTCCAAAATACTTTTTGTTTTTTGTTTTTTTTTATATAATTTCTTTAATATTGGTAATTATGTACCAAACGAATCAAATTTTGCAATGGCTTTAGGTTTTGGGTTTTGATCCAAATTTTATAAAAATTTTTGATTGATGTTTGCAGGGTTACTTTATGACAAGTGATGCTATCGACACTTGACATTCATAGAGTAAAATTTAGATAATGTATTTTCTTATCAGAAATTTTGAATGACAGTAAAATTTAACGATAGAATTTAATATTATGCATAAATATTCCCATGAATTGTAGTGCAGACATATTGACATGAATTATTATGCATGAGTGTTGACATTTGTTTAGGTTGAAGTATTTGTATAAATAATTATATTCAAAAGCTTGTACTTTGTACTTAAAAAAACTAACACTGTATCCCGGTGATTGATCAACTAGCACCTCTTGGTGTAGCACAGTTTTAAGAGGAAAGCCACTATTGTATTCAAATGCATTATTTTTGTACTGACTGATCTCCTTCATTGTCCAAATAATTCTGGTTGGAAGCGTATGTAACGCATCCCAACAATCAGAGTTTGTCCTCTGTCCTGACCATAATTAAGTATTAAAAATAATTATGAATAATAATTATATTTTTTTCTTAAAATCACACTCTATTTTTCATTACATAGTATAAATTCATTTTTTTTCAGTAAACTTTGATTAGCATTTTTGGATGAAATTTTCTGAGATATAATTGTTGCACTATTGTGAAGTGACCATCCAATTTGTGTATTCTATTAGGCCCTGTGAGATTAATACTCAACATTATTATTAACTGAAAAACTGAAAAACAAGAAGAATTCTTAATTATATAAATAATTATATAAATTATTCTCAGAGTTTTATTGATTTGACAGATTATTCAAGTATTATTTCTCCCTAAATCTAAGCCCTAAACATGTTCAACATTTAACAGATAGCATACAGGAATTTAGTTTGAGGGGGGGGGGGGCTACACTAAATCACAAGTCGTTCTAAAGTGGGATAAGATGTCCGGTCTTTGGCCAACACATCTTAACTAAACTAAATGTCCTGTGTATCAAACTAACACCCTTATTCCCCACCCTTGATAATTATACATTTGTACCCAATATTTTTGATTAATTAACATATTTTATTGAGTTTGTTATCATTATGACATTTATATAATCATAAAATCACAGTATATTTCACAAATCATTGCAAGGTGGTAAATATTTTGGCAAAAACACTAAAAAATAGGAGTGACATGAACCCCACCAGAAATTTTTTTAAACAGCCTTTTACAGGGTCAGTAAAAATCACTAAATAAAGCAAAAAAATACATTCTTACTGATTTTTTTAGCAAAATATTTACTTATTCTGATTTTCATGTTATTTTTCAATAGATGGTCCAGCCTGGAGCACCCGGAGTACCAGGAGCACCCGGAGCACCCATTCAGTGGATGCAGCAGCCCACTGGCACCGTTGGGTGTCCGCGTGGATTGGAATATTTGACACAGATTGATCAATTGTTAGTTCATCAACAGATGGAAGTGTTTGAAAGTAAGAAAATAAATGTACAGTATTCTGTCCATTGCTATGCATAACAAAATAATGGAGGGTAAAATGTGAAATTTGACCTTTAGGCTTTTTTACCTTGCCCATACCATCAAAGATGGAAGGGAAAGGTATATTAAGGGAAAAATTTTGTCCGGCGTTGTCGTCGTTAATAATTGTTATTGTGTGCATAATAACTTTACTAATTCTATTCCAAACTTTATCAAACTTGGTCACCTTATTCATCAGTATAAAGTCTTCCCTGAGTTGAACAACAG